CCGCCACAGGACCCCCAGCCTCGGCACCGCCCCCCGCCCCCCACAGCTCTCGCGGGACCTCCTCGGCACCGCCCTCTACGGGTTAAAGGGATGGCGTCCTCCCTGACGCTCGGGAACCGTGCGCTAGAGCGCTGGGCACCATAGAGATGCCGGCGCGCTCGCCTAGAGCGTCACTTGCTTGCCTGACCCCTCCCCTGGCGGCGGCTACGTCGCTGATGGGATCCGCCGCCTGCCTTCCCGTTCCCGGCGCTCAGGCTGAAGGGGAAGCAGAGGAACCGGGGGCTGAGGACACCATGGAAACCCCACGGGACGCTCTAACTTGTTCTGCGTCACGAGAATGCCTGTGACTGCTTCCGGAAGAACGCTCGGGTGCCATGTTTCTGAGGGGCTCTGAGGTCATTTCCGGAGCCCATAGGGGTACTTCCGCTTAGACGCAAAGGTGGGAGGGTCGGTTAAAAAGGCGGTAATGTACATTGGCGGCTGTGGGAATGACGTGGTTGAGTCGATGTCTGGTGCTGGCTGTCTCCCAGGCATTGTTTTAGGCAGTTTTTAATGCCTCTTCATTCCTCACAACAGACCCGTGAGTCAGATAATTGGTCTGCCTGAAGTCACAGTGTTAAAGCTTGAACCCTATTGCATTGGATTCCCAACTGCATTCATCCTGCAAACATTTAATGAGCTCAGTGCTTTTGTTTTGCTCCATGACAGGCACTGGAGGAGGAAGACAAGGCCAGATATTTGTTGCACGAAGTGATAGGGGAAGCCCCTGGGGTAATGAAAATGCAGGAGGGGACCTTCCCCTAACTGGGGTGTTGGCGCGTGCAATGGGCTGTTCTTGTCAGGAGAGTTCACAGAGGAGGTGACTTGGCTGAACAGTCGAATTTCTCCAAGGTGGACCTGGTGTGAAAAGATGTTCCGGACAGAGTAAGATGAGATCAGAGAATGAAAGTATTTCTGTAAGGTTCCAGGATTTAGGCTGGGGCAAGACCACGAAGGTCCTGTGCTTAGCTTGTGTGTGTGTGTGTGTGTGTGTGTGTGTGTGTGTGTGTAAGGAGGAATCGCTGAAGAGCTCTGAGAGCGGTGAAAAAGTCTAGGTGGCAGCGCAGGTACTGGTGGAGTACAGACCGCTATAGGAAAGGACAGGATGAACACACTTTATAGTCTTGGAGTGTTTCATGCCTCTCCCTCACCGGCCTTTTATACCCCTGGCCTTGCGCCGCCCCGGACGGCTCTGCTTGGTAGCCGGGTCGGTTGCTCTCCGTCGCCCCCTGGCGCCCCACGGGGGACGTGCCCTGGTGCCCTCTCCAGCAGTCCTGCGCTGCAAAGAGTTAAAGACAAAGCTGAGACTAGAGCATCTGGCGAATCCGGTTCTGTTGGGCGAGCTCCTTCGTGAGTGACCTCGATTCACCTTGCAGAACCGCAGTGACCTCATCTGGGTCAGTTTTTCCACTAAACGCTCCCATTCAGCTGACTGGGATGCTGAATTCTCTCCATCCCGCAAGCCATTAAAATTATACAGGAAAAGGATTATGTATGTTTATTGCATTCTTAAAAGCTGTAACACAATATGTGCTTGGAGCTCTTTCTTTTATTACAGAGATGAATTATTACCGAAATAAAACCCAAGCTACGCTTACTGTGTTGATTTAGGGGCATATCCATGTTGTCAAAAGTCACTTTTCTATTCATAGTTTTTAGATACAAGGTTTTGCTACATAGACCAAACTGGCCTTGAACTTGCTGTGTAGCCCAGGCTGGTGTCAAATTTGAGATCGTCCTGCCTCAGCCTCCTGAGTGCTGAGATCACAGGGCTCAGAAGTCACCATTTAAAGACAGTGGTGATTTGACCTGGGTACAGGTTCTGACATCACTGGTTTATAAATTATACTGTGTGGCTTGTACGTGTGGTATGGTCCTTTTCCATCCTGGGCTTTTCATCTGAAGCTTGGTTGGAGAAAGTGAGTCTGGAGCCCCTGGTTTATTCCCCCCAGCGTCTTACCTTGGCATCTAACTCAGGTATATATGGTAGCTATGAGATTAAATCCAGGGCCTCATACTCACTAGGTGTACCCTCTACGACTGAGCTGCACCCTCAGCCCACCACTATATATTTCTTTGCATCTGTTTTTTGTTTTCTTCACCAGAATTTACATTCCCTGAGGAGCTTCTTACCATGAGGAATTTCATTTATTTGGCTTAGGGTGAATCCCCTAAGGCCTAAAGCAGTAACTGGTACCTATTTGGTGGTGTTGGGGCTCAGAGCATGGTACCCCACAGTATGGAGCCCCAGCATTTGAAACAGAAGAAAACCGGAGATGGCATCATGAGACCTCTCAGCTAAGGCACATTGGTGGCACATTGTTATCCCAGCGCTGAGAGGCCGAGGCAAGACCCTGCCTCACAGTAAAAATAAAAATAGCTGGGGATTTAGCTTAGTGGTACCGTGCCTGCCTCACAAGCATGACGTTGTGAGTTTGATCCTAGTACAAAAAAACCCAATAAATTAAAAAAAAAAAAAAAAAAAGGGCTAAGAATAGCTCAGTGTGAAGGCCCTGAATTCAATCCTCAGTGACACTTAAATAAACAAAATGAAAAGGACCGCATCGTGCTCCACCCCTGCCATGGAAACTAGCAATTCTTCTTTACCCAGTGGGTTCTATGATCCAGGACCTAATTTCTCCCAAAGTCGTAACACTTGGAAATGTGACGCTCATTTCCTCCTTCTTTGTGTGTAAGAGCTGTGTTCTTTCACCTGCTCTTGTCAGGAGGCCATAAGACCTTCATCTCAGAGGGTCCTGCCCTGAGACCCAGAGGCTGGTAGAACTGGGACAAACAGGCCTTGCAGTTGCCCCGTCCATCTCCCCAGGGTCACACACTTTGCCCAGTCAGATTCCTCCACGCTGCCTGCACTTCATCAACTCTCCCATAAAGATGGGCATTTCACCCTGGGTTTCCATTCTGAACACTCCCATCCATAAAACTGACTGTATACATTTGTTATGCTTTCTTCCCATTAGTCTGTCTTGGTTGGTTGTATTCAGACCCAGCCAGAAATCCTAGGCAGGCAAAGAAGCTTTTCTTCCCCTACAGTATTCAGTAAATATGCATTGAGCAAATGAATGAATGAGTCAGCTGGGGGTGCCCAGGCGTCCTGCCCGGAGCTGCAGAAAGAGGAGCAGGAGATAGGTCTCCTGCAGGGAGGGCTTGGCCCAGACTGAGGCAAGGGAGGAGGGGTCCTGAGGCTGGTGAACAAGCGTCCAACACACAGGAAATGCAGGATCCGGTGTCTGGCTGCTGTTCCCGTCATTTTCCAGCCTTTGCAAATGGTTTGCTCTGAGCTTGGGGATCCCCTGGGAGGGGGAAACTGTCCTAGCATCGGTCAGCAGCCCCAGGCTCATCTGTGCCCTTTCCCCCCCAAACCCCTAGGACAGGAGAGATGCTGGTGAGGACGGGTGGGGAGGAGGGAGGAAGTGGCGGGGGTTGGGCACACTGGAAACTGTGGAGGGCAGAGAGGTGGGGTGGCATGTCACATGCGAACCTTTCTTGAGAGCAGTTGTAGGAGGTCCAGGGGCCCCAACTCCAGTGCCTGAGACCACAGACAAATCCTGGGTCACGTGCCCCATCCAGGCAGACCCCGTGGCAAAGACACAGAGGACAATGGTTGTCACTGTTCCTTTAACCCTCATACAGACCTCACAGGTAACTCCCCCATTGGCACTAGGGACTGAACCTAGGGCTTTCCTGTTGAGCTGCATTCCCAGCCCCATTTTTAATTTTATTTATTTTTGGTACTGGGGATCGAATTTGGGCCCTTGTGCTTATGAGGCAGGCAGCAGAACCACTGAGCCAAATCCCTGGTCCTTTTTATTTTATTTTATTTTTTTTGAGGCAGGATCTTGCTAAGTCATTAAGTTGCCCAGGCTGGGCTCGAACTGGCGATTCTCCTGCCTCAGCTTCCCAGAGTCCTGGCACCGCAGGCAAGTGCTACTATGCTTAGTCACAATTGAGTATTATTTTTTGTTTTACAGATGAAAAATCTGAGGCCCTGAGTAATGTGGCCTCTATCACAAGGGCCCACAAAAGACCAAATGCTTCCCTTCAAAGGATGGAGAACACAAAAGTAAATGAAATCCAAATGGGCTGGTGTCAGGAGAATGGAAACCGATGGATCCCTTGCTGACCAGTCCCTTGAGTCAACCCCGCCTGAGCAGATGGGCTGGCTACCTGAATCCACAGGAGCACAGAGATAACAGAAAGCCAGCAGCCACCCTGCTGCTCTCACAACTGCCCTGTTTATTAGCCAGCCCCACACCTGTCACCCACAGGATTCTAAAAGTTTCCACCCTCTTGACCAGTTCCCCCTCCCCTACCTAAAATGCCCCATATCAACCACTAGCACCCTCCTCTCAGTGCCAACGGTCTTCTCGCCCTTGGCCCATTTGCACCCAGATGGCAATAAACTCATCACATGTTGCTTAGACTTTGCCTTCCTTGTGGTCTCAATCATGCCTCAGTCTGACCTTACAGAAACCATGTGGGAAGTGGCCTGGGAAATTCCTTTTTTGGGGGGTGGTTCCTTTTGAGGAGTTAACATCAAAACTAAAAGGGACCAATTGTACAGTCAAGTATTGCAAGTGCAAGGATCCTGAGGCCACATAGCTAAGA